ACTAACTCACCCTGAAATGAAGAAGGAAGTGAAACACTCAGTAAGCCAATTAGAAATGACAGGAGAAAGCCTCACTAATAGGATGAATGAAATGGAAAACAGAGTATCATGAATGGAAGATAAAGTGGACTAACTAGACCACTCAAGCAAAGATTATGAAAAATTTAAGAAATTACAAGAATGGAATATGCAGGAATTGTGTGACACCATAAAAAGACCAAACTTACAAATCATAGGCATATAGGAAGGAGAAGAATCCCAAAACAATGGCATGGACTAGATTGTGGAAGACAGGCTTGAGCCTAGGGTGAAAGTCTTATTGACAGCCATACAGCAGGCCTGAGGCAACGGCCCGACTGCTGGAGCCACAAGGAATGCCTTGTGACATTTTGCTCCCATTGGCAGATCATGAGACTGATGCCTAGAGCTCGCCACTCCCTAATCACCACCCTTGGATACCTCACCTTTAAACTACTTACTGTACTGTGCACCACCCTTGGATACCTCACCTTTAAACTACTTGCTGTGCTGTGATTGGAACACTACCCCTATATAAGCTTGTGCCTTCCTGCAAGAAACCAGATCTGTGTCACTGAACCTGGTCTCCTGTGTCTGAATGCGGCTCCACTGACACAGTGTCCTCACCAGCCCTGGGGTCTGGACTGGAAGACAGATCAGAGGAACTAAGAGAGCAGGAGAGCGGCCATAGCCGGAGGAGAGCAGCCACAGCCGACGACCACACTAGATCTTCAACAGAGTGGAAGAAAATTTCCCAAAATTAAAGAAAGACATGCCCATACAAATACGAGAAGCATATAGAGCACCAAACAGACAGGACCAGAAGCCAGCCCTGGGGTCTGGACTGGAAGACAGATCAGAGGAACTAAGAGAGCAGGAGAGCGGCCATAGCCGGAGGAGAGCAGCCACAGCCGACGACCACACTAGATCTTCAACAGAGTGGAAGAAAATTTCCCAAAATTAAAGAAAGACATGCCCATACAAATACGAGAAGCATATAGAGCACCAAACAGACAGGACCAGAAGAAAAACTCTCCACGGCACATCATAGTAAAAACACTAAACGTACAAAACAAAGA